TCTGAAATGGTCCTTGGTGCCCCAGATGGTTGGGCCCCCTCCAGCAAAGCCGCCTGCTGTTGTGTAGATCGGCTCTTTGTCAGTGTCCAAACTACTAGAAGGTTGGGCATCCTTTTTGGACGACTGTCCGGGGTTTGTCTTTAGGATCACCTTAGACTTCAGGATGTAAGACTTCAACACCACCTTATCAGCCAGACGGTTCTACAGCCGCTTGAGACTATATCAGTCGTTGGTGTCATGGCCAATATCCTCATGGAAATGGCAGTACTTGTTTTTGTTCCGATTTTTGGCGGAACCTTTCGTAGCAGCGGACTTCTCTATGGTTACCCGGTCCTTTATCTCCATGAGGATGGAGTAGCAGTTTTTGTTAAACTCGTACTTTGGGACGTACGATTAAAACTCTTCCTTTTTCTTCTAGGACGGCTGATCAGAGTCGTCAACCGCCCAGATCTCTTTTCTCTTCTTACTCTCTTCAACTTTCTTAACCGGCTAAGCTTGCCGACTCTCTTTTTTGTCAGACTTCTTGGAGTCCGACTGCTTGCTGATGGAGCAGAGCTCAGTTGCATGTATATAGGCTTCCGCCTCCCATCAGCGCTTCCTGGAGGGTGGCAACCCTCTTTCTGACGAGGTCAAACTCAAAAGTCGACTCGTCCTTCAGACCCTTGAAGAAGTCTGTATAAGCCACATCGTCAGACAGCCCTTGAATCTAGATTCTCACCAAATTGAACCGGCTGTCGTACGACCGTAGCCCTTCTCTGTCCCCCTGCTGCACTGCACCCAAGTCAAGACTTGTTTTCTTGGCACGGATATTCATAAAGAAGTTTGAAGCAAACACGAACGCAAGCGTCTTGAAGCTGTTGATGCAGCCGGCTTGCAAATTGTCGAACCATTGTTGGGTAATGCCCTTCAATGTAGCCGGGAAGCATCGACACCAGGTGGTGTCATCCAACCTCTGCAAGTACATGAGGTTGGTGTAGGCCATGAGGTGATCTTCAGGGTTGGTGGTACCATCATAAGTACCCACCAAAACATTTTTAACCTTGGCCAGCTGTGCTGCCTCGGTTATTTCCCTGGAGAACGCAGAAGGTTGTTCCCCAAGTTTTAGTAGACGGAGCTGCCAGTCCAAAGGTTGTACGTTTTGTGTCGCCTGACCCCCAAAGAGGGCCGGTTGCATGTAGGGTTGTCCATACGACATGTATGGCTGTTGAGGCACATACGGGACTGAATGGATCGTCTGAGGGCCAGTGTGGACGGAAGGGCTGTCTGACTGACTCTCTCGTACAGATTGAGAATACCTCATTGAAGTATTCTAGAAGCTTTCTGGGTAGGTCGACGTTGAAGCCGACTCAGACAGTTGCTGGTTTCTCTTCTGCTCGATTAGGAACCGGGATCAGAGTGTGTCTTCTTTGAGCCATCCGGCTGGACATGCCGGATGGCCTTCCTCTTCCCTTTCTCAGGGAATCAGATCTTGGTAAGATCGATCAAGGGTCGTTTTCCCTCCTTTGATTTAGGATGCGGAGTGAGCTCTTGGTCATTGATCGGTTTGTTCTTCTCAGAGGGGGAAGGTTTCTTGACCGACTGACCCCTGTTGGAGCCAGCCATCCTCTTGTTGATCAGGTCCTTTATCTCCCCCTTGAATCATGAGTCCGTCTCGAGTGACTAGGGTTGTGCCTTCCGCCACTTGGTATTGTCCAGACGGCTGTCCGGATGACTTACTTGGACTAGCTTGATCATCGCCCGTTCCCTTCTTTCCATGGGACAAGTGCGTCTGAGAGACCCATCCGCGGCCACATACGTTTCGACTTCAAGGTCGTCCTCACTGTCATGGTCAAAATAGACCTCTGCTTCGGTCGTAGGCCGTTTCTCATTAGGAGGCGGTACAGACTATTGTGAGGCAATCTTGGAGGTACTCTTCCCACAGACGACGCCAAATGTTTTGGGGTTTTATGTGTAACACCCCCGATTTACTAGCTAATAATAAACGAGAATTAAAGAAAAAAATAAACAACCTTTGAATAAAAACTGCAAGCATACACCTAAATCGGAGGTATTACCGCCACACTCAACAATTTGTCAAGTGCTAAGGCTTACAAAATCCCAATATTTACAACACAATAATCTAAGTGAGCTATTTATACAACTTTACAAACTTGTTATAAAATACTAATCGAAACACTTGAGCTCCTTTAGCTACGATTACTTGATTAACCTGTTTAGACAAACTTAACTGCTCACCATTAAGGACAAATTCCAAAATAGATCGTCGCAGGGCCACCATAAGAAAAAGACATGGTCGCAAACACAAGTAGCACAACAAACAAACACACACACACGTCAGCAAAAAGCTGAGTAATCACCACTGATCAAAATACAAAGAATAATAGAATAATTAATATAATTAACCCACTTAAAACATAGTAGTTCGAAACTACATTACACATATACACCTCAAGGGTAAAATAACTCCGTACTCAGAAAATAACCCCTGTCAAACTCAACCTCAAATAATAATAAGTCAAAATCAAGTTGTCACATAAAATTTATTACTTTAGTTAAGAAAGGAAAAGAGAATGCCAGTAAGCCGGGACTAGTCCCTGTCACCACCTACTTTACAGAGGGCCGCGCGTAACCCTTAATGGCCATAAATTAAACAGAATGTCCCTAGTGTGCACACCCCTCACTAATACCCATTGATTAGGAGGAAGACTAAACAGCAATATACATCAATTTAAACCAACTAGTAGCAACCATAACCACTAGTGGGCAACCTGTTCTTCACCCTTTCGGGTTTCATTTCCCTTCTTAATTAATGTACATTTAAATAGATTAAATTGTCCGATCACATTGCACATGAGTATTGCACAAAATCAATTTAATCCCAAGTAACAGTATTTCAATTTCAATATTATTAGAACATAGTCATTTAACATGACATAATAGTTACAACTCGTTTCCCAATAAGCCTTGGAGACCATCAATCACGTATAATCAATCATCCAAATTCCCAAGATTGTAATTTTATATAAAAAAAAAAACTGATACGATACCAATAATCAAATTTTCAAAAATACTATACTAGTACACAATTATAGAAAACTAGTATATAATATGATTCCATAATATCATACGGTAACACATCCATCACATATAATTACGTAAGCACATAGCTGACACACAATAATACGTTGTACAATCAATACAAACAATAAGTTATAATTAAACAATTTCAAAGATTAAGATTGGTGTGATTACATAAAATAAATAATACAATCAAATTATAATCAAACAATACCAAAAGATTGATAGTGTGATTACTTGATAATAGATTATAAACATACAACTAAAAAAAAAGAAGATTAAATTAGTGTGATTACGAAACAATATATTATAAATATACAACTCCAAGATTAATAAATTCGTGTGATTACCTTTCCAGCTAATTAATCGCACATACTACAGCCTCGACAAAAATAAATCGCCAATGTCTAGTAATTGACTTGCATCATGATGATAATGGAATCATGAGTATAAATTTGCTACTTGCATGCTCTGATGATCACGAATTGAAAGGGTTGACTTCAATTATTGAATACAATTACTCAAGATTTGCATGATTTTGATGATAGGCAAAAACTCACGGCCAAACCACAATATATGCAAATAAAGTTAATTAAAGAAATAAAAGGATAAATAAAAGTGACGGCTGATATATGTATATTTAAGGTTTTACAATAAAATATATTTAGTGGATTAAAGATAATTTTTATAGGATAACAAAAATAGAGTATAAAGTCGAATTTATAAAATAATTTAAAATATCATATTTTAGCCATAAAATATATCTGATAAAATCTTAAAATATTCGGGTATTACAATCTACCCTTCTTAAAACAAGTTTCGTCCCGAAACTTAAAAAGAAAAATTACGGGTATTACATTATGTGTCCCTCGGGAGAGTTACGTCACTAAGTCTAGACTCCGAGCGCCTGTACCTGCAAAACAACGGAGACTCCGGTTGGGTGGAGTTCCGCCTCCGACGATCAAGTAAGAACATGTACGGAGAATGTAAAAAAGTGCGAAAAGTAGAGTGGGATCTTCTCGGATTCCGAGATCAGGTGTTTTCTCTGAGGTGAGAGAATTTAGTGTTTTTCAATAAATGAATGTTGTTCCCAAAGTGGGGAAAATCTCCCGATTTATAGGGTCATTGGGATTCGTACCCCTGTCCTAGGTTACGGAAACATAGGACTGATGGGTTGCGCCGTTTTTTGGCAGTCTAGGGAATTGGGCCCTGAAGGCCGTCATTTTTACACTGATTGGGAGTGCCACGTGTCAGCTGAGGAGAGGTTCATTTTGAACCTCTCTAAAGGTGACACGTGTCACTCTCTTATTGGGCCACGTGGCCTGGGTATTTTTACCCAAAAGAAACCGAATAGAGGATCAGAGTCACACTTGAGGCTCTTTGTCTCCCGCAGAGAAAAAGATTGCTAAGAGGATTCACGCTTCAAAGGTTAATTCTAAACTATTTTGTGATCCTTTATTTGTATATGCATGAGATCCTGTTTAGTGTCTATCAATATGATTCATGAAATTTCGCTTAGAGTATCTAAAACCCTACAGATATAGATGGTTGTATTAGCTGGTTTACTAACTAGTTGTATTAAATGGTTTGACTAGTTGGTTATGTAAAAGTATCTGATCAATAATTCTTAATTGTTTATTTTTTTAATACATAAAATAACCAAAAAGTTAAATGTTCAATACACTACTCCCTTTTTTTATTTTTCAAAGCATCACTTGAGATTTTACGTTAATTATGTATAAGATTTATTTAATTTTTTTAACTAATTATATAGTAATTTTTTTTATATATAATAGATATAAATTTTTAATTTTTTTTATTTTAATAAATGTCAACAACTAATCATAAATCGATATGTACTCCGTATTTAAAATTAAAAATATAAAACAAGGTCACATTTTATAAGTACAATGCTTAAAAAACGTGAAAGAATAAACAACCCTCGTTAGCAAAACCAAACAAAGCCATAAACTACTCCATAGTTTTCTCTTTTAAAAGTTCCCCTTGCCTCCATGTGATCAGCTCACTGTCAGAGATTAAAATTACTGTTACAGTCGAAAAAAGCAGCCAAAAATCTAATTTCACCAGTTTTCCCTACTAATTTCTACATTTTCAATTGAATTTCTAGAACAAAATTCCCAAAATCTCGCATTTCCCCAGTAAGGAACCACTCTCACTTTTTCTGGTTGAGCAACGAGATTCAAGTATAGGTTTCTAGATTGTGGGAGAACCCAGATTATTTGGGGATGATGGATTTTGAAATCTAGGGCATTTTTTTTTCTTTTGGGTGAAGTATTGGAGAGTGAAAGATAGTCTGGGTGACGAGATGAAGGATGTGGTTGGAAGTCCAGGTACAAAGACTGGATTAATGTTAAGAATTGGGCAATGTGGATTTGCTGCTGCTTCCATTGCTTTTATGGTTTGTGCTGCTGGATTTGCTTCCTACACTGCTTTCTGGTAATACTTAATCTTCACTTTATGTTAATTTAGTATATTGTTGTTCTTGTTTTTTTATAATTTTGTTTTTATCATTTGTAAATGAATCTTAATCTTAGGGTTTACTATAACTTGATGTTTATTGCTGGTTTAAGTTAGTTTGTTATTTGAGAAATTTGTTTGATTTTACAAGGTGTGTTTGCATTGCGGAAATTATTTATTGTTTGTTGTTTGACGGGTGGGTTATGCCTACTAAGAGGAGGTATATTATTGGTTATGTTGTGTTAATGAAGTGTTTGAAGGTTTTGTACGGGAGTGATTTTCTTAAACTGTGTTAAGGCCTGTAATGCCATTGTTTTGTGCTTACCGTGGAGGTTGTGTTGTAGTGGAGGGAAATATTCCGGGGATAAATGTTGCGTTTCGTTTCTAAACCAATGGTGAAACTGAAGTTTACGAAATAATGTAGATGGTCCAGGCACCAGAGAATTCTCTTAGCAAATATAGACTAAAGAAAATTCTTAATGGAAAGAGAGGAGTAAAACATTGCAGTGTATTGGGCAGCAAGAAGCATTAAAACAGCTTCATAGCTCTAAATATCATCATTCACCATTTTACTCGACTTCACAGCTAGTTACATGCGATGGTTGTAGCAACGCCTTAGAGCTTGCATTTTAATGCATATGGGTTTAAGGCACCAATTCTTGTCTCCCATGTTTCTTGCTCCACCACATCAATTTCTGTCTCCTCATATTTCACTGATGTGCAAGGAATCAATATTTAGGGGAAGGGTATGTTAGTCATAGTCTATTAGTAGTAACTTGGGGAATAAGCTAAAGGTTTGTCAGGAGGGATTTTCTATAAATAGGTCTCATTAGGAGGAAAGAGGGGATGATGAATATTGAGTGGTTTGTCATTGGGAGAGAGTGAGCCTCTCGAAAGCTCATATTAAGAGAGAATCCACCTCTCGAAAGTGGTATTATCGCATGATTTACTGTAATTCTCATCTTAATACTATAATCAGAATTTTTCTTCTTATTTTCTGCCATTGTTAGTGCTTTAAGCCACCAGTTCCTAGCATGATCATGCCCCAATCTTCCTCTAAGTTCTTGTTTATTCCTATCGCGGAGCTCCAAGGTTGCCACCCTTGCTCTTGACTTTTACTTATGGCTTTCCATTTATATCTACTCTCCAATATATGATTAGTTTAATTTAATCACCGTAAAATATATGATTATGTAACTATATATTTAACATGGTTTAAGCTGTTTATAATTTTAAATAATGCAACCATACTCTATAAATTAGATTACTCATAATATCATCAGTATAGTTATTGTATCATTCAACCATTTTGTATTACAGATTTATAAGAACAGTAGCACATTTGAAAACACTTCCGAGACATTAGATAAGCAGAGTTAATGAATGAAGTACCAAACTGAAATTTGAAAATTTCCTTGGCTTTGTGTGGGTTCAGAGTTTCATTCTTTCAAAATATGTATGCCCTAAGTCTACTTTTATGGTAGGATGCTGTCGGTCAACTTCTTCCTTTTGCCTTTTGAATTCCAATTGGTAGGGCACTCTGGCAGCTCCATATAACATGAAAGTGTTGGTCCTGCTGTATATTGTACTATCGTTTCCTGTGATAAGGAACTAGCTCAGAGCTGATCAGCTACCATTTTGGTCACTTTTTTCCAGCAACAGAATCTCCAATCTTTGAGGTTCTTCTATGTTATCTGAATACTTTAATCTTTTAGTTCTGGGGTAAATTAGTCAAAACCTTAGTTCTGAAATAAATGATAAATTGTTCATATGCCAGTTACAGTAATGTAGAAATGCCACTGCTCGTCATCTTTGCCAGTTATGTCTTATCTTTCTTCATTTGTCTGCTCCTCTCATAATCTAATGATTTTTGTTGTTTTCTCCATAAAATTGCGCATACTGTATAGATTGATAGTTCACCACTCTGAACATTTTACATCTTAATATCACATACCTAAGTGATTTAGTGGGAAAGGGACCTACAAAGTGCCTTGCTCATTTGAGGAAGGGGGAGGGGTGAATTTGGTAAACCTCACTATTTCATTTGTATAATGTGGACATATCAATTAATTTGTGTTCCTTGCATTCTACCTTGAGTAAAATTTATCCCATATTATCTCTTGTTTCGTTACTCTTGATTGATTCAATCAAAGCCTTAGTCCCATAAGTGGGGTCGGCTATATGAACCAAAAGTGACTATTCTGTATAGTCATCCACAAAAATCTTCCCTTTCCATCCCTTATGATCAAATGCCCCATTCTCATCCAAATCCATATGCTTCATATCCTTCTCAACTCCTTCCAACAAAGTTATTTTTAATCTCCTTTTCCCTCGTTTAACCCCTCCATGGTCCTACTCTTCCACTCTTCGTACCGGTGCACCCTTGGGCTCCATCTTACATGTCCGACCAACGCATACGATTTTCTCTTAATTTGTCTGCAATGCCTGCAACACCAACTTTCTTGCGAATAACCTCATTTCTGATTCTATCTCTTAGAGTGTTCCCGCACAATCATCTTAACATGTGCATTTTTGTAACCTCCATCTTCTTATTGTGCTCATACTTAGAATGCTTTGGTCACATAACACTCCCGTGACCTCTCTCCATTTAAGCCACCCCGACTTAATCCCGTGGGCCACGTCTTGATCAATGCCACCATTTTTCTAGATGATCGACCCAAGATATTTAAAAATTCACTCATGGTCAAGTCCTTTTTGTCCAAGCTCACTACATCATCGCTTGTCCCCATGTGTGTACCTAAGCGGCATACCAAATATTCAATTTTACTCCGACTTAGCTTAAACCCTCTAAATTTCTAACCTTTGCCTCTATTGCTCCTATTCAGCATTAACTCCATCTTTAGTTTCATCCACCAAAACAATATCATCAGTAAACAACATACACCATCTTTACTATTGATTAATGTGGCTGTAGAATCTAATGCAACTACCTCATCTCCACCACCATGGGGCATAAATTCCCATTGGTATCCACATAATAGAACTTGATCTTATGAGGTATTTATCCCATCATACAATACTTGTACTGTATATTCCCATCTTAAGCCTCTGACCATATACTGCATTTCATTATTCTGCCTACTATTGTGCATGATTGACTCTTGGTAAGCAAAAAATTTTATTTTTTTTTATTTTTTGTTTTTTTTTGGGTAACAATTGTCACACTTTTGATTGTTTTGGTGTATAAGTCAGAGTTCTACTTCGTTATCTAAATTCAAATTCCAGAGTTTGTCTTAGTTCAACACAACTTTAGACTCTGAAATATGAGGCTCTCTATGAAATTCTAGCTTATCACTGAAGCACTCACTTATCTCATCAAGCAAAGTCATGCTGTCACATAAAAAGCATTTGTCACAGATTTTTGTCGAGGATTGACTGGACTCAAAGTTAATTCTGGTTTAATAGTCAAAATGTATGTAGTAGAATTTTTTTGTCCTTGAAGCATCTCCATAGGTACACATTATAACTTATAAGCCTCATTTAGGATCCCAGGGCAATGAAAACAAAGTAAAGATTCTTATTTTTGAGGTACTTCCTGAAATTTCTTAAGAAATGTATGACTTCTGTTATGAATTTCTCCGGATTGAAACCAAATTGAATGCGTTATATATAAGTAGGAAACTTCACATGAATAATACCGATTATGAGTGTTTTGACATATTAATCTCTACTATGGCATGGGTGTTTACTTTCTCAAATGAATTGATGACCTTCATTAACTGATCTAGCAGGTCACTTGGCCATGTGGCGTTATGTGATTAGCCTTTTTTTTTTTAAAAAAATTATATTCTTAGAAAGTCAGTCCCTAAGGCCATAACTCCTCTCTTTCTCTCGTAGTTCTCCCTCAGTTTTTGCTTGAAAATTGACCAAGGCATTGCTTCACTTCCGTTTGCTCGACGCCAGATTCCATCTTTTCTTGTACTGTGGCTACTGCACTGTGCCACTTGTACTCCTGCTCAGCTTCTGTCATTGTCACTCACTAACTCATGCATCCAGATTAATTAGCAACTAGCAAGGTGCCGCGTGTTAGTTGATTGGCTACCGCCAATTGCTGCACACAAAGCAACAATAGTGCAATGATCTCCTCCTATCTTAACACGCCCTTTGTCTACAAATAATCCTCATGTAAACAATTTCAATATATCCACAAAAACTCTTCCTATTAGTCTATTACTTAAAATAGAAAAATTTCTTCCTTAGTACATGGAAAGTAGACCCCTACCCTAATTCTCTCTCTCACACTATTATTCCACTTTAATAAATTCGTTAATATATGCGTGCCAAAGCCTAACATGAAGATTTTACATGGACAGGGAGTATATTGTTAAAGTTTGTCGAACATAGTTTGTTTTATCTTTTTTCTTGATATTGTAGTGATTGGTTTTGTAATGCGAGTAGAAATCTAGCAGATTTTTTAATATTAGAATTGTATAAGTTATCTTCTTTGTTGCAAAATTACTTATTAATGTGTTGGAATTATCTCATGTTTGCAGATTGCAAAAAGTTTTTAATGATAACATTTGAATGAGGAAAATGAAATTTGTTTAGCAATACTCGAGTGTTTAAGCAACTATTGTTGACCTTCTGATTTTGTACTTTATTTTGCGTTAATAAAGAGGTAGAAGCTTGATGTAGGAAAATGAGATCAGGGAAGATGGAGGTTCTTGAGTTGAGGCGGTAAGGTTAAAAGTTGAGTTAAATGACTAGGCTGGGGGTGCAGTTGTGGTTTGGTTAGCAGGGAAAGGAAGGAGGTGGCTGGGAAAAGAAGGGGAGAGAGAAGGGGAGGAGTTTTTTTTAAAAAAAATAGAGAAAAAGAAATGTAACAGTTGACCAAGTAACCGGTAACCCCGGTTCCTATGGGAAGGAACTTCCCATTGTTGGGATTATACTAGACTAACTAGTATTTGGCATTATACTAGAATAACCCAAAGTTGAGGTTTTTCATTGAAAATTCCATTGTATCCTTTCTCATTGAGCTTCTTCCATGATTTCTGTTTATTTGGCAAACTTCAATTTATCATAAAAGTTATTTGAACTTTGAATTACATTCTGATTTTGTACACCTTCATGTTCAATTTATACTCAATAGTTTGAATTATCCAATATCAACTTTCCAAACTTAATAAAATAAGAATATAATACTTATATTTAGCATTTCAACATCATTTGACATTGTTATGAACAACTGTGAGCTCATCCTAAGAACATTACTTGCATGTAATAAATAAAACATGCTTGTATAATACATTGAATAAGAAAACCAGAACTTTATTAATAAATTAGAACATGCTTGTAAATAAATGTAACAAGAAACCCAGAATTTTATATACCAAAAATGTTTATTAAAAATTGAACGTGATTATGTCTATTGTATAAGCCAAGGGTGAGCAAATGCTGTCCACATGAAATGTCTAAATTGACCTTTTGCACTTGATATCTAATTTAAAATTATGGAATGAAAAAAATCTCTTTTTAAGGCAAGAAATTGAAAACCTTATAAACAATACAATTTCAATGATGGAAATTTTGTGAACCACCACCTTTTAGTTTGCCATTGCCGTTAATTATTACCTTATAAGGTGTTTTTTTAATATATATATATATATATATATATATATATATATATATATATATATATATATTCTGTGAACAGCTACCTTTGTTAGATTTTTTTTTTTTGAGTATCACTACCTATTAATGGCAGAAGTTACCAATATTCGTTTGTGGGCCTCGCTTTTCCTTTTCTTTAACTAATCTTTGCGATATATCTCCTTATCCAATCATGACACCCTAATTGTATCCAATGAACTAACCATGATGTTATATTTCAAGATTTAATACCCAATTTGCAAGCCACAAATCTTAGATGTATTGATTAAACTCATTCCATCCCTATGATATTCATATTAAGCTAATTGGAACTTCAAATTCCTTACTTACCCTTATTTTTTCTAATTTTGGTGCATAATTTGAGTAATTCTAAGCATTTTAAGGGATTAAAGTCTAATTTTTGTAAGGGTTCCATTAAAAATTATCCCCAAAATTTACCCTTACTCTTAAATAACAATTAGGGTTTCAATTTAGGGGTAAAACAACAAGCTTTAAAGTTAGAATTTCAATTTGGAGAATATATTAATCAAAGTTAGTATTAGGTTGGTTAATGGTTGTAATTAAGGGCATTGTGATTAGCCAAAAGAGGAAAGAGGAAGAAGATAAGGTAAACGATTAAAAAGTTATTTGTAATGGAGGGAAAAGGGAAAATTGGAGTCTCAAAAACAAATTTTTTGTAAAGGTTTTCCGTCAAAACGTAGTGGTACTCAAACTTTAATTCAAATAAAGGAGTTCCTTACAAAAAGAAACTTAAAAAGGTTGTTTTTCACAAAATTGACAAACTAAAAGGTAGTAGTTATGAAGCAATTTCGTAGATAGCTTTAAATTCCTGAAAATTTTGGAGTTATAATGACATATGTCGAGTGAATGTTCTTGTAGTTTTGTGGTAAAGGTGGTATTGACTCTAGATTTGGTGTTTCTCTTGTTTCTTATCCATTTTTTTGCAAACACATTTTACATTTATAAAATCATGTTTGTTTTTTAAACGAGTCCAAGGAAAGACATATGAATCGGGTCCAATTGATGTTCATGGTTTTGGATTCTATGCTATAAGACAAATGCTATAGAACTTGTCATTTTACGAAAATGTATTTGATGTTTAACTGTCAAAGAAATTAATAAGGATATTTTTATTGAAGGGGCGAGGGGTGGGGGTGGGAAAAAAGGGTGGGGGGGGGATAATATTTTCTGTGAAAGTGCGTAAGTATTGACATGAAGTTAAAATGTAGATTGTACATGTTTCTTTTTTTTAGCTTCTTTGATTTGTGTTTGTTCTCTCACTTGTGAACTTCCATGGGTTACTGCAAACTCATTACCTATTTATGCCTTTCACTACCCATTTCGTTGTGTTCAATGATATCTTCTTAACTTTATCATAGGTTATGTGGAAGTTCATAAGTAGTGTCATCAAATTAAAATGTGGATTGTATTTGTTTCTTTATTTTGCTCTTGTGATTTGTGCCTGTCTTCTCACCTGTGAACTTTCATAAACTGCTGCTAGATCTTACCTGCCTTTCACTCTCGATTTTGTTGTGTCCAATTGTTTCTTCTTAACTCTATGATAGGCTTGGTGTTAGTTAAATGATTGTTTTGGCAAAAAAATGACTTTCTGGGCTTTGATGGGCTGCTCGTGGGCCTTGAATTTGGGCCTTGTGTTGACCTGCAAAATGAACTTCGAGCCCTGACGGTGGAGGCAGACCCACGCCTAAGTTAGATGCCAAAGTGAATATTTGAGAGTGTTTAAGGGAGAGAGGAGTGTGGTCCTCTTAGGAGTAAGATTGACCTCCTTTTACCTCTGCCCTAAGAAGGGTACTTATAGTGGTACATGGAAGGGCAATGATGGGCCCTAATAGCCTAATAGTGTATTTGTCTTATATGGACCTTTTGAGGCCTTTGGTGCCCTTTGTGCCTATAAGGGTAAGATTAGCTTAGGCTAAAATGGGTAGGACCATTTTAGTACCCGAACAATTATAGTATGTTATTAGGATTTCACAAGTTTCTGTGTAAAACGTAACCTGAGATGGCTTGACAGTGCTCCACTTTTACTCCCATCGATATATTCTGCCTCAATGCCTCAGGATTCTAAGGAATTTGAATTTTTTCGTGTTATATAAAGAATTTCCCTTACACTTGAAAGTATTCAGCTAGTTTCTCTGCCTTTGTCATCCTTGCTGTTTGATGTTTACTCAATTCATGGCGTCATGGAGTATTAGTATAGGAGCAAATTCAAAGGGCAGGTTTTCCCCCTTGAAGAAAGAGCTTAGAAATTGAAGCTCTCTTAAGCCCATCTGTAGACTCATTCCCATGCAGAGGTAGCCACCCAGTCAACCCAAATTATCACTTAGATAGAATGATCACAAGTCCAGGCACAAGCAAACTGATTGTGATAGTAAAATGGAGACAAAAAGCTAATATTCATTTAAAGTCTGTTTTGTAGTCTTAAAATAGGGATAAAGGGAGTAGATGTCAAGATCAGGTAGCTGTTGATAATTTGACATTATCATGACTGCAGCATTTGGTGGAATTTCATCCCTTGTTGAGAGGTTGCATTCTCTTTTAGTTTCTTTCTTTTACTATCAACTTTTGTGTTAGAAATTTTCAACCACAAATATAGCTCTAAGAGTGTACTGCTTTACTTGATCTTTACACATTTTATATGTAGACTATTTGTATGTATGGGATGAAAATATACTGCAGTGCAAGGGCTTCATGTAAACTAGAGGCATATAATAGGTCTTTAGATTAAATGTTTGACCAGCTGAAGTTATGTGCTATTAGCTTGTGTAGTAGACATCTTCATGCATCTTCCATCTGCCTTGTTTGCTGGTTTAATTGTGCATAGTTTTCAGTAGGAGCTGGAAACTCCAATTACTACTTTATTTATTTATTTATTTATTTTTATTATTTTGTGAATCCTGCCTAAAAGGATGCGTTGTTTTCCCTCTCTTTAATTTTTGCAGCTTTGGATATGTTTGCTTTGAATCATTCTAATCAATATCTTTTGGTTTAGCTATTTGATTGCATCTATGGGGCTTCAAGTGCTATGGAGCTTTGGACTTGCTTGTCTGGATGTCTATGCCCTGAAGATAAAGAGAGACCTTCAGAGCCCTGTCTTAGTGAGCCTATTTGTTGTTGGCGACTGGGTACGTATTCAGTAAACTTTATTTATTTATTTATTTTTTACATTATGTGCCTTTACCATGCTTAGGCTAGGCATTTGTGCTTTCCAAACAGGAATTGACATACTTTATATTTGAGAGGCCATTTTCTTTTTTTTGGGGACCTGCTGGAGGCTTAAGTGAATCTGAATATTGTGTTATGATTATATAGGATACTGACAGCATTAGTGTTTCTTGGGAACTTTGTTTCATATAAACACAATTTTTTAGTCACGGTGAGATATATGTACTGAAGAGCATAATCTGGTGCCAATGGGGGAAAGGAAGCAACAACAGAATGAATATTGGTGATACTAGCTGGCATCGATGAAGATTTTCAATAATACTATTTGTGGCAATAAGTGATAATGTTGCTGAAATAGGGGCATTCAGTATCTAAGCAGGTAGTATTTAAAAATGGGAGTTTTTCATGGCAGTCATAAGATTCCGTTTATTTGAATTGGAAGGAGTATTTACAATTTTGCCTCAAATACCCGTGTCGGACCCTCGACACTCGGACATCACTTGGACACTTCATTTTAGCTCAAAATCATAGAATTTTTTCACAAAATAGACGAGTCATAGGCTTTAATTTTGGTTTACCCAAAAAGGAATACAGGCTTTATTTGTATAAATATGTTTTTTTGAAGTCGTTTATTAAAAATATTTTTCACTTAAACAATATAATTAGTTGTTTTTAATACCAGTAGAAAAATAATTTAAAGGCTCGAATCTAGTGGGTTGTGGTCTGCTTAAATTGTGAATGCCAAAGGTTTATTTTTTGTGGTTCTTGCTGATTTGTTTTAAATTTTTTTATAATTATTACTATTTTTTCTTTTCTTTTTTTTCTTCTTTTTTACCCTTTTTTATTTTTATTTTTATTTTTTTTTATGATTTGTGTATCTGTTTCTACTTTCCTGTGACTTCATTAAACCTTCACTTGACTTATAGTTGAGGAAAAGTATGTTTGTTAGTGGTTAAAAAGTTAGCATAAATTTCATATTCGCAAGTTTTAATTTAGTGATTTAACCAGTTATCCTTTCGCTGGGAGCTGGTCATATCATCTCTGAGCTCATATACTACCTACGTTTCTTTTCAATTGCAACAAAGGAATTTTTTGTCTCACGAATAATACCCCTTTGTTGCAATTAATAAGAAATCAAGGTAGTAATTGTATTAGGCATTAGGCTGTGTAATTTTATTCACTATGACTCATTAAGTAGAAATTTGACACCAGGTAACAGCTACTTTATCACTCGCTGCCGCATGCTCATCAGCAGGAATTGTGGTTTTGTATTCCAATGATCTTAGCCTCTGCAGGTCAGAACATCTGCCGTGTTCCAAGTACCAGTTGTCTGTAACGTTTGCCTTCATCACCTGGTTTCTTATTGCCTTGTCTTCATATCTGATGTTATGGATTTTGGCTTCTGTCTGAAATCTAAATTGACCATATGACAACAGCTTGTGACATGAGTCCAATTCTCTTCTATCTAATGTGTAAATGTGCCCCTTTTTTCACTCTTATTTTTATCCTTATCCTCCAGTGTATGCTTCTGAGTTTTGACACCTTATTAAGGTGATTTTATAAGCATTGATTTGAAATGACAAAAAATATTTCCGATGCTTTCATTAGAGAGATCTCTGCTGTCTTATTGTTGTTAGTGATTTACCTTACTGCATATTAATATTCTGTAAATGACTGCTTCTGCACTTTTTTTGTTTGGCATACATGCATAATTTGGTTCCTGGCCATGTTTGCTGTTGTTAATAGTAAGCATACTCATGCTTAAAATTTTGGATTCAGATTCTAGTTTCTTATGTACAGAGCGCAAAGTTATCTGCTGGGTTTTTGTTGTGCAATAACTTTTAAATAAAGTTGAGTTTTAATAAAACTAGTCATTTACATTTATGCATACATGTGCTGATGTGCATCTAAGTATGAATACTGATATAAAATAGCGTTTGAAAATACTACTCCCTCCGTTTAGTATTAGTTGCTACACTTTCCATTTTCAGCCGGTTCATATTAGTTGCAACACTACTATATTTGAAAAGGACCCACCATTATTTTATAATTTCTCTATCCCACTAACCCCACTTTCACAAATATTTTATTATTTCTCTTTCCTACCAACCCCACCCACACTACTTTTTTTTTTTTTTTATTATTTCTATCTCTTACTAATAATACTTTATATTATAAGCCTATAAGCTTAGTCTATATTTTTCTTAAAGTATAAGCCAAGCCTACTGTTGCAACTAATGCGAAAGGAAAGGAGTATATTCTTTATAATTCAAGTTGACAAATTTTTGGCAATAACATAAAAATGTGATTATTGTTTTTTAAAATCAAATATATATTTATACATTATTATTATTTTTTATATATTAAAAAGCGTACTTAAAATTGTTTATGTGCCACGTAGCATTGCGCTACATCATCATTAACCAGCATTGTGCAACGTCACCACTACCATTGCCACATTTAGTCCATATCATTATTGATGAGAAAACAAACATCCTACAAGATTCGAACAATGAACCTCATGAATATAAGTATTGCAGTCTTATCTGGAGTAGGTGATCACCTCTATTAAGACAGTGGTCTCTCACGATGTGAAGTCTAGTGTTGTCCTCTACCACTACTTCACTTAGGGGCTATTTGGTTGAATTTCTTGGAATGGGTTGGAATGAATTTAGAATCAATTCCATGGTTTTATTTGTTTGGTTGGGCTATTTAAGTATGGAATCTCATACCTGTGTGATTTTAACTCTATCCCATTCCATTGGAATCTTATACCCACCTCCCCCCTAAGGATTCATAATCCATACTATTACTTAAGTATGAGAATCCATTCCATCATGATTAAACCAAACAACTTTAGATTGGTATGGGATATAGAATCCATATCACCCAAGTATGAGAGTCCATACCAATCCATTCCAGTTTAGTGAACCAAACGACCTAAGGTTTCCTTTGATGAGAAGCGGCAGACGCTGCCCATTCCAGTTTCTTCTAGTTCCCATTTTAAAGTCCTTAGCTACTCAAAGTGGCGTACAATAGTTTGAAGTGCATAATTGCCCTTCTTGAGTTTGAAAGTCATATGGGGGGAATGAATTTGCAAGGGTCTATGGGAAATATCTAGTTTCCAATTCTCCACTTTGAATACCAATGTCAACTCTTCAAGTGAACCATTTCGTCATCACTTTTGTAGGATGCCACATTGTTCGTGCGGGTGTAAAGCGTAGTCAAGGTCCCGGTGATTTACATGATTTTTTGTGTTTATACCCCCGTTTTACCTTTTATAATCTTACACTTCTTCATTTTTCTCACGTGTTAATATGAGCCTTTTTTTTTTGTTATTTTTTTTTTGCAAATAAAATTTTTATTACCATAATAGAACGGTTACAACTTACAAAGGCTAAGCTGTAACAAGCAAAGCACCCAAAACACCAAAGACCTGAGACAGGCCAAACACACCCCAAATAGTTCCAATCCAAACCAAGCCACCTTCTAGGAAGGGTTCAAGGAAGGACAAGAACTAGCAAACTGGACTCAAGCTTCTTAGCCACCTTCTAGGAAGGGTTCCAAGAAACAATAAACAGGAAAAGAAAACAAACTACAACAGACCATTACATAATCAAAAGACTTACTACAATTACACCTATAAGCGCTGCAGGCTTGCAATCTCCTGTGAACATCATAGAGTTTCTTTCCAACCAGATACTATACACAGTTTCAGAAAAACACATAGCAGCTATTTTGTTCCTTGCAGTTGGTCTTCTGCAGCATCTAGCAATCCACTGCATTTCTTCAGACAAATCAAGAACAGGTCTAGAAAGACCAAGCAGCTGCAGCACTACAAACCAAATATCTCTAGAGTAAGCACAATCAAAGAACAAATGCTCAACACTTTCATTAACAAAAAAAGCACAATGGGTCACAAGGAATATGCCGAGACAACAATCTGTCCTTAATTACCAACTATTCATCAAAGCTAGCCAGGTAATAAACAAGCTTTTAGGAGAAGCTTGATTATTACAAATGATTCTTTTCCAAGTAACTCTAGAGCTTTGGGGCCTGATACAGTTTCTTAATACTATACAGTTTCTTGATGCTCATTTTGCCATTTGCAGTAATATTATCCCAACCACCAATGTCATTGATTATCTACCTGCAAGACATGATCTTTTTCAGTAACCATGAGGATTTCTTTGGAATAGCAGCAGTCCAGAAGTCCTTATTAGCAAAATAATAAATGTGAACCCATTTAACCCACAAATTATCAGATTTGTGAGCCATATCCCAAAGAATCTTAGCAATAACAGCTTTATTCCCGTTTCAAGATAAGTAATGTTCCAGCCACCACAAGACTTAGGTAAACACATAGATTTCCAAGGAACTAGAGCTTTCTTGGAAGGATTACTCTTCCCAGAATATGAGCCTTAATTTAAGTTGACCTAAGGAAGCCATAAAGCAAAGAAACAAAGGAGCAAAAAATAAAGGAAAGTAGAAAAGATGATTTTATAATGCGACCCTCAACTTCAAACAACAATATCTTATTCACCATATAGAATTTTCAAGTGATACAAATTGTAGATGAAATTAGAGTCCAAGAGCTTTCCAATGATAGTTTATAAGCCCAAATTGACCGAGAAATGAAGAGGTTATAGGCGCTTGGAATTAGATTTTCCGGAAGAGGAGTGACTGCTCCGCCAAACCTTATTGCACCCACTAGTCTGCGTTGAGCGCCCACTCCACAAGAGCACATGCTAACAAATAAGGTAGGTGGAGTAATTTCTCCACAAATGAGTAGCGCCAGCTCCATTGGGATTTATCAGTGGAATATTATGTGCATCGTCTTTTCGTACATTGGGGGCTTTCTTGGGACTTATATATATATATACCCAAAGCTCTTGTAATTAATGGTTTTTTTTTTTCGAGATTTAGACCTCTTAGAATATATGTTAGGGTTTAGAGAGTAGATTAGCTTAGTTTTAGAGAAAGAAAGTAGCTAGATTTTCACAAATCTTCATTGTTGCACATTCAAGCTTTCAAGTTCTTCATGTTTTTCAACCCAAATCTTCAATTGTTTAGTAAATTCTTCTTCCTTTACTCTTATTTACTTACTTTCTTTAGTTTAATCCTCGTTCTTAACTTGCTAATTGTTTTGTTAATTAGTTGTTACTCATAGTTTGGTGCTGGTTTATTTGCTCTTAATGTCTAGTTTGATTGTTTTAATTGTTGATTTCTACTTGTTTTCCATGGGTATTTCTCCTCTTTTAGGCTAAGTCTTTAACTAGGGGAGAGGATGAAGGGGCAGTGATTATATAGTATGGTTAATGGTCCTTACTTATAATTAATTGCCTAATTAGAGGAATTAGGTGAAGGGTTTGTTGGGTTTTGTGGTGTCCGACACCGCGCAGAAACAAAACCCGATAATCGGATCGTATGCATAATAATTACAACATAAACAAAAGCATGCAAATAAACAAAAAACACAAACACAAGAGAAGAGAGAGAAAGAATACTCACCCTAGAAGCGTGCTTTGCTCAACCGATAAGCTCGGACTTGAAAGCTTCAAGTTCCGCTAGTGCGAAAACCTCCGACGGCTCATACCCTCGCTACCGAACAGTAACCGGCCCCTACCTCGTAGCTTAGACGAGGCTAGACCAAAATAATTTAGAGTTTACAAAAAACTGTTTTCTCGCTTTTGGAGATCCCTTAGAGTTCACCAACTCAAGTGTATTTTCCAATACCCAATGATTGGTATTTATAGGGAAATGTTCCCAAGAATTCCCATCATCTTTCAATGTGGGATAGTTGGTAAAAAGGCAAAATAAGATTTAATTTAATTTTAAATCTAATTAAAAAGCTAAAACAATCACCAAACAACAAGTGGCACAAGGAGAGCAAGGGGTTAGGTGAGGACCACATGGGAGGACCACACCTCCCTTGCTCCCCAAGCCATCCCTCACAAATGGCCAGGTGCAATAGGAAGCCGCCAAGTGGCAACCCACCTTGGGCACCAAGGCAGCCATGCTGGCGCACGAGCCCTCGGCTGGGCTGCTAGTTAGGCCTTCCCGCAACAGCAAGCAACGAACACGCGGGCTGCTTGTTGCTGGGCGCTGTTGATGTGTCGCGCACTAAGCTTAGTGCTAGCAGCAGCAGCAGCTCGCTAGAGCGAATGCCTGGGCGTGCTAGCCCGGCTAGCTAGCGCTAGCAGCAGCTAGCAAGGCCTAGCGCGCTAGCTTGCGGATGGCCTTGCTAACACTGCTAGCACGCGAGCTCGACCAGCAAGCCCCAGCCAGCACCCTTATGGACTGCTGGGCTTGCGGCCTTGCTTGCAACTATGGCTAGCAACCATATATAGCCTAGCCCTCGCTTGGCTAGGCCAATACGAGGCTACGACTATATTTTGACTGATTTTTTTCGTCTAGTCGATTCATAAATTTGACTCGACTTTTGACGCTCTTAGTTCATAAAATCTCTATTGACTTATTTAATCCTTCAGATTAATTCGTCGCTTCGGTTCGGGTACATGATTGGGTGTGACCCAAATGGTTCAATCAAGATTAAGTTGTAATATTAATTATACATTAATATTATTGATCGGAAGCGGCCTTCAGCTAGG